GGGAATTGTAAGCTAACTGGCCAAAGATGTCATAGATCAGACCTTATGAAAAATGCACAACTAATTTATCTGGTATTTACAGAGGTTTTGATTATGTAAAGCAAATACAGCCTTTCATAAATTCTTTAATTTAGAGTATTTTCAATAAACACTGAAAACTAAAAAGTGATTTTGCAGCCCTCCCCACCCTCCATTTGGCTATCATCTGTTCTGGGATAACTTATCTAGGAAGCTCTGTGATATATATTAATTTATTCCCATTTTACAAAGACAGCAAATAAAAAAGTTGTCCTTGTAGCCGCAAATTCTAAGCGGCAATGTTTATTTGGAATATATTTCTAAAAAACTTTAAACATTGAACATGAATGCTTCTATTACAGATGTCATCCCACAACTGAGCAAGCTGCAAGATGTAAATTTAAAACATACAGTATACTTTTCTTCTACATTAAGGATAAGGGATTACACATTAAGCTTATGGAAACTCATGAGCCAAATCAGCCTACCACAAAAAAAAAAAAACACCAAACACCAAAACAGTTCCTGAGAATTTTAAGATTCCAGTAAGGACTCTCATTCTAAAAATGTCAAGAGACAAGTACTTCGGATAGTAGCTTCAAACCTCTGAGTGAGAGCCCTGCCAGTATGTGGCGCTCTGCTAAAGCGTTCACAAGAGGCAACTACGAAAAAGCAATCCTGTTGCAACAAGGATTAAGTTTACTAACCATAGTCACCTGCACCTACACTGAAATTTCAGCCCCCCTGCCCAGATCCACAAGAAGATTTGCAGTCCAGTGATTCTCATTTACACATTCCAACATAAGACAAAGGTAAAGCTCGGTGTAACTGAACAGTTTTGGAAAGAATGTTTCATCATGTTAGTAAACAAAAATCTCAGCACCTTGGGGATCAAAAAATTTTTAACTAAATATTTTGTTTAGCTGTTAAACAGAAACCAAAGTCTAATAAAAAAAAATCAAACACTAAATTCTTGAACATAACATTGAAGAAATACTCAAAGAACATAGCTGATGTTGTACTATAACATTTTACTTCATTTAAGTACAGCAAATTTCACCCATCCTATGATTTATAAAGTACACAAAATATGTACATAAAGGAAACCTAACCCCACCAAAAGATGATCATATATGTGTATATGTACATATCACATACACACACAAAATGTGCAAATTTATTTTAATGCAAGTTAAACAAAGCATATGCAGGATAGAGTTGTACAATGATAACAGAACATAGAGCACTCCAGGTATCCTAATGATGTTTCGTATCTACAGCCAGTGCAAACTTACAAGGCACAAACTCAATGCTGACACTATAGTGTTGTAAGTTACATTCAGGCACATCTCAATTCGTAGTTCTTCACAAAAAGATCAACGGAAGTGCTACTTCTGTACTAAAGTGCCAGCCTTCTCCCAAAGTTTAAGCACTAAATTGATGTAACCTATATGCAATAGTTATCAGTAGGGTTCCGAGTTTATCACTGGGAATTCTGTGGCTAAAACATCTGTTATACTCCCCTCACATGTGAAGGGATGCTATTTCCCAAAATGCCTCCCATATATTCTCCAAAGACTACCTATACCTTGCCAGCTTTGACATGTAGAATCTCACAGGATATTACTAATGCTTTTTCCTAACTTTAGTGAAACTCCTGCAGAAAGTAAATCCAGATAAAAAAAAAAACCACAAAAAAACCCCAAGACAGCAAAAAACCTTGAGATACTTGCATTTAACAAACTTTTGCTAAATTTTGCATAGTGACACGTGTGTATCAGCTAGTAAAGAGTTAAAAACAAAAGCTTGCTGTTTAAGGCAAAATTTTGAACACAGCATAGCAGAAAAAGCCAAATACCAGTTCAATCAGTATTTAAACAAAGTACTGGCCCATGTAGTCTTATCCTCACAGTGTTTTATTCTTACTTTAATAGCAAACCCACACTTGCAGTATGCTTGATTAGCAAATTTTGTTGCATTTTGCTAAATGAAATAAGAGCAATTAATATGTAGGCTGATTGACTGATACTGAAAACACTCAACACATGTTCTCTTCCACCCCTCAAAAAAGGGTTTTTTGAGCCTACTCGGAGTTTAAAACTTACTTGTACCCAGGTCTAATATAATACCTAAAATTGAACTAATCATTTAAAGTTTTCTAGTATTTAATAGGTGTTACCACATCACTTTGCTGTCTCACCCTAAAATTGTATTTTCATATCATTTTTCAATAGAAGACATTTAATAGACATCTGAGGAAAACAATACAATACAAAAGCTTAAGGGACTTTGCAAAGGTATCTTCTATTCCTTCTGCAGAGTAAGAAAGGAGTGATTTTATTTGAAGTGCCATCATCAATAAAGACACAAGAAGAATACTTAAGAAAACAAAAAAAAGTTCTGATGCTCCACATGTATCTTTGGTTTAGCCTTCCTGACCAAAGTCTTCTGTAAACTTCTTTAACTTCTCCAGGTCCTGTTCATTAACTGTTGGTTTTGTGCTGCCTAGTGACCTGAGCATATCGGCCTGTCAGAAAAAATAAACAAGTATCTTCAGAAACAAGTATAGTACCATTGCTAACAACCCTGTGGCCAATACAAATAGGCATTAAAAAGCCTATTACAACAAGATGACCATAGGAATCCCTATTTGCACAAAACTTTAAGTCAGCCTAAACATGTCTGCACAGAAGCAGCATTTTAACCCTGTGAAGAGAGACGACTGAGTTTTCTAATAATGAAACCACAACCTCAGGTTTAGGTTTAAGCCACTCATCCATTGAACTCATCCATTCAACAAGTTTTATTCATCTCTTTACTGAAAAGAGCTGAATTTTTTTTTTTTTTGGTCAGTTACTATTTTCAACCCATCTTAACTACAGCAGTTTAAAGTGGAAAATAATCAGATGTTCCCTTGTACTATTCAAAGTCTAACAATATAGAACAGTAGTTTGTGATTCATCTCTATCAAAGTTTTTCTGTTCATGACTGGTAATTTCTGTCTCTTCAATTCAGTCAATTTCCTAGATAAACATTTAGATACTAGAAAATGGAGTTCAGAAAAATCACAGGTCTATGAAGTTGAAAGCAGCAGTTAAAACCCTCTATATGGATCAAAAGGGCCAAGGAAACTAATCAAGTCTTAACCAAAGGCAACTGAAAAAAGTAGATGCCCTCATAGCACTATAAAATTATAGGTAAAACTACAAGTTAATATCATTATTTTCTAGAGATTTGTCTCACTAGACTAGAGATACGCTCCTTAGAAAGAACTAATGCCTGATTAAGAACTGATTTTGGGCACTGAAACAACCCCTTTGCAACTATAGTGCATCAGAGCCCAGGTACCATTAGAAGCACACACAGAATCGTTATGTTTAATTCCAGGAAAGACTGATGAAAAATCCACTTAGACCATGCAGGCAGAAGTTTTAGGGCAGGCCTGCACCTGCATACATCCTTTTGTGCTTCCTCAGTATGAAAATATGCACAGAAAATTCTTTTCTGAACTATAATGACAGTTACATTTAGAAAGTAGTGCCTGCTGTTTTAGAGGTGATTCCCATGAAATACACTGATTTCTTTCATTCATCACAGGACTGTTTGCACACAAGAACTGACAGCAACACAGATTTGATATCAAGCCCTTCCCTCAAGCAGTGTGCTTAAATTCAGACTCTTCTTTTTTTGCTCTTGGGGAAAAATACACAATGAGCGTCCAGCAATTTTTTTTTTTTTTTAACAGTAAACTAAAATTTCAATTTGTCTTAAAATGACATATTTTATTCCCTAGACCAAAGCAAGTATTTTAACATGCACAAAAAGAAAACAGCTGAAAGAGCTCTATCACCTGTGATGAAATTTAACCAAAACTACCATTAAATCCATCAACTTTTTTACACGTTATTGTTTATGCTTGCATTTATTTCATGGGCAATATGTACCTGCAGCACATCACTTCCCAATTTACATTGAATATAATTTTCCATTCCCCAGTATCAATATTAATGCTACGGAGTGAATGGAAAGAAGCATGTCATGGGGCAGGGGTTCTGAAGGTTTTAAATTAATAAAAGACAAGCAAAGGAACAGCGGAAGAGCCAGATGCTGTCTATGGATCAAAGAACAGCAGCTGCATGCCAGCAGACAAGAATGATGAGAAAGAAATGCTTATCAGGGATAGAGCGCTGGCTTTTTCACAAGCGTGCTGTACTATGGCACTGTACGTTGGGAATTCAAATGTTATCTGGTATGTCCAGCATTTCCGAAAACAAACAACTCATCCAATTGCCTTGCATAACCATTTTGAAAGCGTCTTCACCTTAAAGCCTATTCAGAGTTCCGCAAAGCAAGAAACACTACAAAAGAATACCTACCATGGAAACTTGAGGTTCCAGTAATTTATCACCTGGAACCTCCATCCATGTCATTTCTATGGCTTCAGGATCACCTGGAGAGCAAGGGGTGAACAAATCTACCATCGTATTTGGATTAGACACTGATGGTCCTTTTACCTAAAAATAAGAAAATACTCAGTTTATAGGAGTTATAATTTTAAAGACAAGAACCAGAAGCTGAACAGCACCTGTAGAAGAAAAACATTCCATGGTTTTATGCAGGTGTCCCACCCATAGGGAACGTATGTCCTGTGAAAGAGAAATTGTATAAATTCATCATTCACTTTGGAGACATGCAGCTGTAGCCAGATACTTAAATTCACATCAGGTAAAACCCCAGAAGCCGCTTCCTCCTAACGTGGAGGATTTCTGTGGAAAACTAGCTGGAGAAGACCACCCTTCCTAGTTCCTGGTCACTTTGGGATTTCATTCATCACTGGCTAACAGCTTTCTAAAAAACTTTTCAATAATTATCCTTGAGTGCCCCTCAAGTCAGGAAGCCAGAGATGGCGTTTTGATCTTGGACACTCGGTGCTACGAAGTTCTAAGCACTTTCCCAACACCACCTCAGCAGCACTCGATGGAAAACAGGGCCATCTAGTGGGAGAACAGAAACCACCCTTTTTTTCCAGACACATGGACAGGTCCCCCAAAAAGCTTCATCAGGTGTCTGTTCCCTTTCTGCAACACGTTATCTGGGACCGACGGTTTTATTTTCCTTCATCGTTACCTGAAGCATCACACATCCACAGGGACTCAAAACATATGCAAAAATTGAAAGACAACACACTAACTGGTTCTTTTTAACAGCAGAGAACTGGATTTGCTATTCCAAACTGCCTTTAAAGCACAGTGCTGGAGAGCACCAACCGCAATGTTCAAAATGCACTGACAAACCTGTATTATCACATACAGCAAGGAATGGTTCACAGTGAACTAGTAATAACTGAGGAAAGCACTGTTTAACTGGGGCAAGTTCTCTCTTATGATGCAAATAATTAATAAAGCAAAGATTCTGCTTATAAAAATAGGAAATCACATCAAACTTAAGTACTAACACCACAAGTGGAATCAACTTGGCTTATATCAGAACCCTCAAAGTACTGCAGTTGTGAGTTTTTCTCCTTCCTTTTTTGGGGGGAAAAAGGAGATACGAGGCAAGAATTGCTTTTGGATTGCTCCGCGAACTGTGACAAGTGAAGTTATTGTGTTGCTCCATGGTAGTCTCAGACATGCCTCAGATTCTTCCAGATTTGAAAGAAAGGCTGAAAGGTAACAGCCCTTTAGCCAGAAATGTCATTATCACTTAAAGTCAACAATGGATAAATACTTCAGGCATCACTGCTTAAGGGAAGGAAGCATCGAGGAAATCCTTGATATATCAAAACGGCTGTTTATTTTTAAACAAAACCAGTTTACATCACAGCATTACTGCTGAGTTGCCCCCAGAAAAAAATTATCAAATCAGTGTTTCAAAATACTAATTTTGTTTTTAAGCTGGGGAAAAGCTCCTCAGAACTCCTTCAAAATGTTGTGGGTCCCCCCCCAAATGACAGGCTGCAGGTTTATTTTAACAACTACAAAGCTGACAAAGGTTTCCACAATGCAGTCTCTGGAAACTTACGTAGTCCTCTCATATTCTATGCCATACTGGATGTAAGTGTTCCTTTCTCTTTGAACCTTAAGCTGAATGCGATCCTTGGAAGAAACCACATGGAAAAAGAGAGCCTATCTTCAATTCAAAATAACTGCAGCTGTTCAGTTTAGGGCCCTTAACCCTTTTATGTCAGTCTGAGTTACTGGTAAAAAAACCCGTAACTGTAACTGAGATGACCAAGAACTGCTGCCAACACAAGTTACATGGTACATATCTCTTGACAGCTTTGGATCTGGAATTTTTTCCACCTTACCGAACCTCACACCTGCTTTTTTTAAGGAGCAACAAACGGAAGTTTCCCTTTCAGCAAAAACATCTGCAGAATACCTTGACCCACCTTCACCCAAGATACATGGATTTTTGTAAAATCAAGCTTTGTAAAAATCAAAGTTCGCAATAAAAATGTAAAAAAAAAATTACTTTTAGTCTCGTCTACTCTAAGAAAATACTACAAAGGAAAAATATTTTAAGTGATACACATGTATGTATTTGGAACTCTGTTTATAACCATTGACAATATTATCACACTTTTTCCATTGAAGAGCATAATAGTTTATAGAGAATTATTAATTTGATTGAACAAGACCCATACGTGCAAATTCTCCGGTGGGGGGAAAAAGCATTCCCAGATTTAATAGATTTACATTGGTGCTAAAGAGCTCTAACTGGTTCTTTTGTCAGCTAAAGTTTCTCAGACCCAAACATTTAGAAGAATGCTCCTTAAGTCAGTACACAGTATGTAGAGGTAACTGCAAGATAAGCCAAACACCACAGTTTCAATTACACTTATTTAATAAGTGTAAACTGGTTTTCACAACACAGCAGCATCCACAGGATGCTGCATGCTGCCCAAATAATGAAACAGACCTTGCTCAGTTGTCATGCATCTTTGCTACTGTCACAAGTAACACTGAATCAATGTTTTTAGCAGAACTTTACAAGAACCTTAATTTTTCCATTTGAAAAATATGCCAAGAAAGCAGAACGTGCATAATTATAATCCATCTGTTCACATGTGGATGAGGGATACATTTATTTAAATATGCTAGAAAAACATGAAGAACAACGTAACTTGATCCAGAAAAAGAACACCTCTGTAACATTCCTATTTAAGTCAAACTTCAAACTGAATGCTTTTAACACTACCTGGAGACATGAAGAATCATCTGAGCTTGGATTACACAGCATGAATACCCAGAAAATAGCTCCACCAGACATAGGGTAGGACTGGGGGGAGGGACAGGAAGAGGGAGAATACCCAAGTTCTCCCCTGGTCAATAAACAGGACATTCATAAGCATGCAGTATTACCCAAACCCAAATTCAGTTTACTTGCAAGGAATTTTCAAATTAAGATAGTTCTCTATTTGAGAGATTTGAGATTAAATAGCTCAAAAAAATGTTTATTCCTACTTACTTTTTTAAAGTGAGTAGCTGATTGCACTTTTCTAACAGGCTGCATCAGTGCATCACGTACAATTATGCTTATATCTGCACCAGAATAGCCATCACTTCTCTTTCCAAGCTCTCGATAATCTGATTCTGTTAGGAGATTTGGCGTTGACCCAAGGTGAAGTTTGAACATTGCGGCCCTGGCATGGTCTTCAGGTAAAGGAATATAGATACGCTTCTCAAACCTGGTTTAAAAAAGAAAAAACAGAATGTTCCACAGATACTAGCTCATGCAGGTGCACAGTGCAAAGAAGCTTATGCAAATAAATATATAGTTTGTTCCTAACAATATTAGAAAGAGGTAGTTTCAGTATTATAAACCTTTAAAAAAATCTGAAGTGAATATTCAACAACCTGTTCTCATAAATACTACTGTAGCTAGCATAAGCTAACATCCAGAATATAACAACTACTTCCTTTTTATGGCAAAGATCATCTCCTCTTCAGACTGAAGCTTTTCCAGATTCTCTCCAGCAGAGTTTGTGTTTTAAAAGAAAAAATTGAGGGGAAAAAGTCTTTAAGTGTTGAAGTATATTTGAACAGTTTTCACACTCAAAGAAATAAATGCCTGACAACAAGCGGACACAACCACTTTCTACAGTCTCCAACTAAATTAAAGAAAACTTCATAGTTGGAACCAATTTGAAGTCATATTCTCAATACAGTTGTCTGCAGAAAATGTTGATAACTGCAGGTCTTCCGTTGAAGCAGCATCTGTACTCACAGCAGGGATTACCTCCCACCAACAAAATAAGAGCAACTCCAAATTCTGTAGAACACGATTAACTTGAGATACGTGACAAAGTGGGCCAAATCCATGAAAAATTAGTTTTATTACTGCCATTATTGTACGACTTCCTTTAAGTCTCATGGACAAGAGTTAGAGAAATACTCTTTCACACTGCAGAGAATCAGAGAATGGTTTGGGCTGAGAGGGACCTTTAAAGGTCATCTAGTCCAACCCTCCACCATAGGCAGTGACATCTTCCACTAGATCAAGTTGCTCAAAGCCCCATCCAACCTGGCCTTGAACGCTTCCAGGGATGGGGCCTCCACAACTTCTCTGGGCAACCTGTTCCACTATCTCATCACCCTGATTGCAAAAATCTTTCTGCCTTACATCCAATCTAAACCTACTCTCTTTCAGTTTACATCTCCATCTTTCTTACAAGCCTCCTTTAAGTGCTGAAAGGCCACAATAAGGCTTCCCTGAAGCCTTCTATTCTCCAGGCTGAACAACCCCAGCTCTCTGGGCCTTCCTTCACAGGAGAGGCGTTCCAGCCCTTTGATCCATTTCCAGGGCTCCCTTTTGGACCTACTCTGTCAGGTCCATGTCTGTCTTGTACTGTGGACCCCAGAACTGGGGTTTCAAGAGTGACTTGACATTTTATGCAACCCATTCACTTCTAAATCTGTCTCACACAAAACTATAGTCATACAGGTTGGAAGCGACCTCTGGAGGTCACCTGGTCCAACCCCGAATCAAAGTGCGGCCAGCTTGAATTAAGTATATAAATAGAAGTCAGTGACAGTCACAAAAAAGTAATGTTTCTTCAGCCTACAAAATGACCATTATCAAAGCTGTGTCCTCATCACAACATAATCATACTTGTCACATTGCCGTATTTGTCCTCTGCTGCTCTGCAGCTCAAAGATCCAGCTAATCAGGTACAGGTATCAAAGCCCTTTATCTACAAAAAAAGCAGTTAAAACACGCACTGAAAGATGATAAATTATGCCTGAGCAGTAGAAAAACATGGTGTTTCTCTATAACATAAGGCTACATTTCTGTGAAATATCTCAAGCTATTGAACAGTTTGTTAATAGCCAAAAAGGAAAGCTCTACCCCATTTTGCCCTCCTGAGAGGCATTTTTTGTAACTTGTCCCCCAAGCCCACCAGAAAACCAACCAACAAGGAAAAATAGTGGTATTCTGCTTGCTAAAGCACAATCTGCTAACCAAGAGATCAAATAAACTACAGGGCCAATATAAGAATGAACAACCTACCTCTTTAAAGGGGCAATTAGTTTGGTTCAGTCATCTCACGGAATTGAGTTGTAGAACATTAGCTATGTCTGCAAACATGAGCTAGATTACTACCTCAAGTAGCCTCAGACTGAACCCTCAACAACAGGTGCAAATTTCATGCCATGAAAAAAAAGCCTTCATACCTTCTTCTGATAGCAGAATCCAAAACCCAGGGTATGTTTGTCGCTCCTAAGACTAAGATTCCTTCATTGTCAACACCAACGCCTATATTAGGGCAGAAACCATTTCACCATTTAGATGATAAACAGAGTGTGTTTTAAAATGTCATCAAAATTTAATGGGGTGGGACTGCAGATCTTTTTAGGGTTTTCATGCAAGCTATGCTTAAAATACGTATCTTAATTCCTTTGACTGATTCTGAAAACAAAGTAAACTCACCTTGCATCTGGACTAGAAATTCTGTTTTTATCCGTCTAGCAGCCTCACTTTCATTTTCACTTCTTGACCCGCAGAGGGAATCTATCTCATCAATGAAGATAATAGAAGGTTTGTTTTCTCTGGCAAGTTGGAACAAGTTTTTCACTAGTCTTAAAAAAGGAAACCGCTTCAGTTATGTTAATGATTACACCAGTAAAAACACATAACTTAAGATGATACAGTCACTTCCTTTAGAGAAAGCTAAAAAAAAGTATTGACATAAAGCTATTCAAAGATACTACATGCTTCCAGCTCCAAGACGCTGCATTATACTGAGTGAGATAGCCCAGCATAAAGGGAGGTGAACCATTTTAGAGTACTCCAGGCATCGTTTTGCAAGAAAAGGCTCTTTTTCAGTCTACATTTCTACAAGACAACCTGGACTATACAAAACCACTACTCTAGAGAGATTCAAAAGAATATGGCTTTTTCTTATTTAACATTTGTAACCTAATCACATTGACTCTAGAGATTCTGTAATAAGCAACATGTACTTTTACTTTAGACAACTTTACTAAATATTTTTCAAATGACAAGAAAAGTTGGTTTGCAAAAAAAAACCCAAACAACCAATCACCTAGCCATATCTTCTTAAAACATTTTACTAAGTTAAAAAGGAAAATAAATAGAAACATGCTGGGAAATTCCTCCCATTACCAGCACTAAATCTCAGGCAATAGTCTCAAATGAAGAAGTCAAAAAGAAAAAATGCCAAGCTGGACTCCAGTTCTGTATTCCTTTTGCAACAGAAAAGCAGCTTAAGGTTTCCAGCTTTTGGGGAAAAAAAAAAACCCAGTCCAAACACTTTATCTAACAGCCTTTCTTCCTCATCCTATCAGCTTTAAATAGTGTTGCTCACTTGTCCCACACTTCAAACTATTAAAGCGTGGTGTTGACAAGTACTCTCATCATCGTATGAAAGCCCTTTCTGTACAACAAACCCAGCCCTTTTTCTTAATTCAGGAAATCTTTATTAGAACCCTAGATGGCAAAATCCTGCACTTCTAGACTACAGACAACACATCACTTCAGGCTTCCTGGTCTTCATCACATATCACATAGTAACAAACAAAGAGTTAGCATGAGCCGCCATGAAATTTTCTTTCATGGCCACTCCTCTCCTTCAACCTATTTCTGCAAGTCTCTTACGTCTTCCAGATTTTGTTTGAAATCAGGATGAAGAAAAAACACTTCCATATGAACAAAGAAATGCCACATGTTAACAGTACAGCTCCTGGGACAAATAAGTGGAGAGACGCCATAAGGCAGAGTACCCCAACACTTCAGACTGATGTAGTGTGCAATCACAGCTGAGTTCAGAAGGGGAATGAGCTCCATGGTGATCACAAAAAGTTTCTGAGCTAGTTTAAAAAATTATCTTGAGCACTGAAGAGAGGGCCAGTTGCAGCAGCACAAAGTGTAGCACATGATATCTTTACACAGCACTGCAGCATGAAGCATAGAAACACCCGAAGTTTGTTTTTAAAAAGACACGATCCTTCCCACAAATTCCATTTCTTTACAGCAACTTATCTAGCTCTATATTAATTTCTTCTTGCCAATGTTTTCCTGGACCTCTGGCAACTCCAACTTACTTTTCACTTTCTCCTAACCACTTTGAGACAAGGTCAGAGGAAGATACTGAGAAGAAAGTAGAGTTGTTTGCTTCTGTTGCGACAGCTTTTGCTAAATAAGACTTTCCTGTTCCTGGTGGTCCAAACAGGAGAATCCCTCTCCAGGGTGTTCTCTTTCCTGCAAGAGAGAAACCAGCAGTCTTCAAAATACTGTACAAAGACTGAACTTATTTTTCTGATGAAGCCCCTCTAATTTACTCAGAAGTTTTCCACATCTACCCATGCAACTTCTGTCAGATGGATCACAATCTCTTTGCTAAGAGCTCAGCTTGAGTCTCTGATACTAACACTCAGACCCCAGTGCCAGTCCTGACTTGCCAGCAGCAAATAAATGCTGTACTTCTGACCTGTAAATAGGTGTGGAAATTTAATGGGCAAGATCACTGCTTCTTTAAGTGCTTCTTTGGCACCTTCGAGGCCAGCAACATCACTCCATTTTACATTTGGTCGCTCCATAACAATTGCTCCTATAAAAAAAGATTGTGTAAATTAGTGATGCACAGATCTTTTCACAACTTCAATAACTCTCATTTTGGAAAAAAAATGTTTAAGAAAACTGTGCTCACGTCTGTATTGAATAAAACTAAGGCATTTCTAAGTAGATATAAACACTGAATACTGTTAATCAAATGGATGTTATTTCTACAGAAATCTGTCACATTGTTCTACCACAATAAACCACAGATAACCAGAACATTCAAGAGTTAGTAGAGTCCTGCAATGGTCAAAGATAATCCATAACTGACTGCCAAATGTGCGTTTAGTAGTAACAGATGAGTACCTTCTCTAACAGGTACCATCTCCTCACTAAACCATCACTGTACTTCCCAAAAGACTTGAAATTTCATTTTAAACAAGGGAAGCAATGTAGCTGCACTAGTCCAGGATTTATATGATACTCCAGCAGATGAAGTAACTTGTTGGATATCTCCAGATGTGCAGCAAACAATCAGACCATCTAATGGTAAAGAGCTTTGAGAGCTAGGGCTGAAAGCATCAGAAAAGTTATACGGAGCCTGCTTAGCTGCAGAAGTATCTTAGTCTAGCCATGTTCTCTCAAAGTTTATCACCAAATCTCATCTTGCTCAATCAACAAGTTCAGTTTGATTTTAGCCAACTGAGCTGTTATTTAGCCTTCTCTTCAGACTTCAGGTTGGTTAGTCTGACATGCTAAAAACGATTTTGTTTGGACTATTTTTAGATGGGGCAACTTGGATCTGAGCTAGTAATTGAGTATTAGATCTTGTAATCCTAGCCAAGGCAAATTTTCTCAGATGAACAAATGCCAACAAACCCAATGCTTATCTAAGTACTAAAACACCCTGAAAGTTTCAGTTGCCCTACTTCTCTCCAAGGGGCTTGCTATAATTTCACAACTGGCTTTCATCAGCTGTTTTCTTGACACTTTCACCTTATGCCTTCAGAGCTCTGTGAAGTAATTTAAGGCTCTGAAGTAATTTAATCCAATCTACAGGACTGAAAATTTACTGTTACTCACTGGCTAATGAATAAAGCAAATAACGCTTGCTTACTTTTTAAGTATCTCCTTTGAGATTTTTTTCTTTTGCTGCATTCCTTTTCTATCAGATTGAAATGAACAATTTCGGATTAAAATTGCAGTTGTTAACAATTTGGAATTTAGAGTCCAAAAGCAACATCATATTGTTAAAGATGTTAAAAATGTTAGAGAAAGTTGATTGCAAACTGTCTTAAGCTTTTGATCTATATACCGGAATTAATTCAATCACTCACTTCCAATGCATGAAATTCTTTTGCTAGGTTGATTACATCTCAGTTTTTCTTAAAGTAAATACAACTATGGGCTCCATCACTAAAATAAGTAGCAGAACAGGCAATCTCCTGTTCCTATCTGAACTGTGTTATTTCAAAAGTTGAAATATCAGAATTACCTGTACCAGACTCACCACGGTAACTGAAATTACTGCACTGCAAGAGATTACCTGTACCAGGACACAAATGGAACTGGAATCACAGGCTTCCTAATTTTGTAGGTATAACTTAATAGCTGTAAGATTAAGCAATAGAGTGCAAAAGGCCTTTAAAATTCTAAACAAGAGTACATGACAATAGACCCGTAACTACTAACCAGTTGGAATGTTACTGGTCACTTCTCCCACAATAAGCCATGTTGCTATTATAATTAAAATCTTGATAAATACCCACAGATTTGGGAAAGTTCCATAATGCAAAGTCAGCTAGGAGTAACAAGGCAGTAAAATTAAATACAGGAAATTTCTGTGGCTGTTGTGGGAAACAAAATGAAAATGAGTAATTTGAAGGCTGCCCAGAGCTTATATTATCAGAGTAACAGACTAGTATGTTAAGTTCAAAGGTACCAAGGATCTCACACCTCAGACTTTCAAGCAAATAAATGTATAAGGAAGAATGTTGTCATTTTATAGAAAGTATCAAAGAAGTGGTGGGTACAAGGAACTATTTCTTGAAGTAAGAACTGAAGGTCAGGTTCATGTGAGAAGAAACAAAGTCTCTATAGTGAGACACAGGATAAGAGTCAAATGCTCATAATTTTTCTGTCATTTTAAAATACAGGCAACTGTCCCATATAACTGTGCATAGGATTAAAAAAATGTGCAGAGAAGTAGAAAAAGCATGGCACAGTTTCCAAATATAATACAAGAGCTCCTGAAATCACACAGGCAGAGAGATCTGGTAAATGCATTTGATCTCTGCAACACTGAAAAATGGGTGAGAACAATGAATTTTCTTCAGACTCGTAAGCAACGTCCGGCAGGGAAGCTCTGAACAGTTTTTCACCATTAAAGGGTGATAAATATCAAACAAAGCCTCTTTTTTACTGTGTACAAAACTACTGGTAGCTGCTAGACATTGCATCACTGACTGTATTCAGCATTTGAGTTCAAAACTCCAAACTACTATGTTACTCAACGGGGAGAACATCATCACGGCATATGAGAAAACGCTGCCCATTACTATAAGCAAGCAAGATTCCATGTTCCCAGCTCCTAAACGTGAGCACAAGCTTTTTGTGAAAATGGTCCTGCTTACACTAAATGTTTGTATGATGTCTGTTACCTTAGCCTCTAGGCAATACTCTGATGCACTTAAGAGTAAAAAGTACTGATTCAGTTTAGCCAATAGCTATCTGGGATCTTGCAATTTCTCCCATTGGAAAATGTTACCCTGATAAATGGTACAATTTACCCATAATTCCATAAAGACTACCCTTTTGTATGTCAAGAGTACACATACTAGTTGCACTTACTTACAGTAAATTAATCCCTAACATTTAGGTGGCAAAAATACAGAAATTTGCTTGACTGAATTCAACCCTATTTAAAGAAAAGGATGTTTCAACATTACCTTGAAGTTGATTCTGTAGCTTCTTTTTTTCAGGGTCCTCTGACTCCCCTTCCCCATCACTGTCATTCCTGTTTTGGAAACAAGAAAAAACATTGAAATACAATAAAAGAGACTGCTGTCTTCAGATAAAAATCAGAATGTAAAAAGCAGAAAAAACACCAATCTGAGGAATGAAAGAAACCTTAAGATGCTTTCACATCTCTACAAGTTTACATCATTTTACTCCTGCTTTTCTACACCATGATGCCTCTTGTTCACCTTCTTCACCATTTCAACTTCCTCTTATGGGTCTGAGTCCTCTTAACACACTTCTATGTGCTTTGAGACAGCCTTTAGGAAACAAAAGCCCTTGTATCATGCAACATGGAAGCACTAAAATGTTTTATTTGTAGACATTGGCACTTATGTCCTATCTAGCACTGCAGCTGAACTCCGTCAATTCAATCTAGTACTATGGAACTCTACACCCTCATCCTGTCAGAGCAAAGGAAACTGGAAGTTGAAGCAGGAAAAAAAAGACCAAAGAGTGAACATCTGGAGTGGAAGTCATGGAAATACATGTAGCTTCTGTGTTATTACCAACTCCTTCTACTGTAAACCAGCAGAACACAGTACAGCTCAAAAAATAAAACTGATGAGATGAGTAGACAATGAAGGAGACTGAAAGTCAGGTGAAGTTTCAAGAAACAACTGAGCAACTCTAGCTGTTCAGGGCTGCTAAAAACGCCAATGCCATGAGGAAGTATCATCCTGAACAATTCCTCTCTCTTATCCCCACAAAGGTAGAGGCAGATGCAAAAGAGGCTCTGCTTGTTCAGGTAGCTCTGCTTGTTCAGATCTCTGATATGCAAAATGAAAAACAAATCTAATAAAAGGAAAGCAGCAGAAAGACTAGGCAGCAGCAAGGCATTAGAGTGATTCAGTCCATCTTACGGAACTTCACCTTACACGAAGCTTTGCACCTCTTATCAAGTGTGAGACAGATTAAACTCAGGCCACAGTAACCAGCCACAGTAACCATCACTCTGCATTTATTTTCTATTTAGTAAGTATTTACATGTTAAAAAATTTTAAGGATCATCAGGCTTATTGCCGTTAAATCCAATAAGCATGTGTTAGTCTGAAACAGCTTTCATTCTTCGCTGAATTCCCTATGAAAATGTTCATGCATTTTAGTAAACAAGCACAGAAATGTCTGTGATGCTAATTCATGTTATTTTTCTTGTATTAGCCCATTGCATTTCAGCATTAGTAGTCATCTGAAGCATTTCAAAAACATTAATTAAAATGATCTTTGAAGAGTTGAATTTTAGAATAAGCCGCATTCAAGGAAGTATTTTGCTTTACCTTCTCCAAAAACATACCCTTTTCCATCAGTAGGACCAGACTCTTTAACTGGTTTTGGTGTAGTTTTTTCTCTCTTTTTCAGATATTCTTTCAGCTTTTCTGCTCTGTCCAAGTATTCTGTACATTTCATTCTAATGCTCTGTTTTGCTTTATCACCCTGTGCTTCATCTAAGAGTTTGAAAAGAAACAATGCTTTGTTAACAGCAACACACATGTGCATCAATCAGAAAACAAGACTAAATCTGTCTCCTTTATATCTGATCAATATACTTCTCTCAAGGCTCACCACATAACCAAATATTTCAACTACTTATTTTTCCACTATACCCTGTAAAGAAGTGACAGCAAGGATGTCATCACCTACCAGAAATCAAATATACACCTGAACATTGGTTTGCCTTAAAATTTGACTGTAAGGGATTAAGGACAATGGCACTGGAAGCTTTTCTGTCAGCCTTTCAAGCTGCTATACATTGTCTTAATAAATCCTTTTCTAAAATAGCTCATCAAGAAGCTGCTTGTGTTGAGCAATTTTTATTTAGAAACATACTTTATTTTTCCACAGCCTGCTAATTTTAAAAGTGTTCACATCGCAAAGAAAAACGTTACATCAAACATCTGAAAGAGTTAGGTGTGGTTCAACAGCCACATTGTTCTCTTAGTCACTATTACAGTATTTTTAATCAGCCATGAAAATTTAACACATTAGGTTTATGTGTTAAGTTTCCAAAAGTACATCAGTATTGTTAAAAGCACAGAAAGTGATATTCTGATAAAGTCCATAAGAGATAAAGGACAGGAAGCGATGAATACAAATTATACTAAGTGACTAAAAGAAAATTGTGGTTTTTTTCAAATCATGCAGATCTGTAAGTGCACTTCTGTCAGGTGAGCAACCCTAGCCCACTTAGATTAGGGCTGTACCTACATTAAGAAAGCCCACTCCTTGCATACAAACACTTGACATGACACGAAAGGTACGCTGAAGTGTGAAAAGAAAGGCATAAAATAATAATTAGGAGAATATAGAAACTGAAGAAAAATTACAACATACAAATCCACCTCATACATTTTGTTGGCCAAGATGAACAGCAAGACTATGACATTAAGGAGCAAAAAATGCCAGCAAAGAGGTTGTAGAAAGGCAAGAGGCATGAGTTAAGGAGCAAAAAAAAAAGCTCTGTAGATACAACAAAGATGTCTTGTGTAAAGTGTAGTTTTCAACACAACAGAAATACAGGGATCCCTGTACTTATTGTCACATTTCCTCAAGCGCAGTGGCAGGTCTGAAACATTGCTACAGAAGTCCAGAGAAGAGACAGCAAACCCCTGCTTCCTTGTCATAAAAAAAACTAAAACAAAACACAAGTAAAAAGTAAGCTGATTTCTTATGAGAATGGAGCAAGCATACAACACAGTAATGGCAAAAGCTGCAAAATATACGACCTCAGTCAAACTACAACTAGCAAGTATCACCTGATGATGAAAGTAAAAAATGTAAATACTGATGTCAACATAAGAGATTACTGTGTAATTTGACTACTAAACTCTACTTAATCATCCAATACATTACACTTACATTTAACAACATGGAGAAAATACTGCACAGCATGTTGGTACAAGCGGAAGGCTTCCTCATAGTTTCCTGCTTTATCTTCTTGCGCTGCCTTGTTAGCAAGGTCTATTGCTTTCTGTAACACAAGCAAATAATTAAGTGCTGTGTGAAAGCATTTTGCATCAGCAAAGAGACATTTTAAGCTGTTGCTCTGACTGTTTTTTGACGACCAGTTTTTCTGCTCTTCAACATTTACCCCAAAAAGTTAAAGGCAATTGATTGTAAGTTGTAGGTGGTGCTTTGTACATGACAATATTTCTATCCTTTTATGAACAGTGATTAACAAACTGCTGAAATTTACTAGCAAACAAAAAAGTATAAGTGAGAAGATCAAGGTTCTGTATACTAAGTTGGAACTACTACTGGTTTGTCTATGCAGTTTTCCTTACCAACCTCTTGCATTTCTTATGGAAAGATTTACAAATCCATTCTAAGGTTTTTTTTCTCACAGACCCAGACACTTTGAACTATGACTGATGACATCAGTAAACCCTGTCAACAGCAAAGTTAATACAGAAAGCACATGATTACAATGCGCTGAAACTAATACTATCACTCTTCCAACCCCATGCTGGGAGACATCTTCAAAGACTGACTATTTCTTTGGCTTCTCTAGAAGGATTTAGGTTCTTGATATCTAAGTGAGAAATTCTAATTACCACTCCAGTAGGAGGGGAGAAAAAAACCCCACAAGACAGAAAACAATCCAAATCACAAGCATCAAGAAAAGTTCTAGGAGAATTATGGATGGATTTTTAATTTGTTTGCTGAGCTAGTTTCAAATAACACTGATCTAAGCCATCGTATTGCATACACTGGCCTGTGGATTTGTTGGTATCACCGTTATTTCTTTGCTCTTAAGTGCTTATTACCTTTTATTACACTTTGCTTCTTGGAATGCCTACCTATACCACTTCAGGACAATTAAAACTGTTGAAGGACTAGTTCATATAAGTTTAAAAAAGGCAGCTGGTTAGCCAGAGATAACCAACACTAACTAAATCTTCTATAGCCCCACACGTACTTTTCCACATTGTCTGTTTCTTTTCCTAAACATTGTTAGTATGCTCAGGATGATCATGGTAATGTCCGGAAGCAAGGTGGAGAGCTTCAACGGCTGCAAGGAGTTTTCATTAAACATTCCAGTACTGACATTCTTGCCACTATCTGGACACTCAGGCAAAACAAAGCTAGTAAACAGTAGCCATGAAAGAAGAAACAGAAAAAAATCTCTTTGTCCTCTACGTTATGTTGTTGTCTTGGAAGCAAAGATCATCTCGTCAGATCTACCCAAAATCAGAGAGTAATTTATTTAAAAACAATGATCCAATAAAGCAGACTCTACAGCTCTGTTGTGACAAGCGTTGGAACACTGTAAGCATCTGTTTCTTTAGAACAGAACTTAGTCTTTCCTTGCTGCTAACCTTGTGCTGGCTCTGTTATAGGCCCCTCTGTGCACCACTCAAATCCAGCAAAAGAGCAAAAACCAACCCAAAAAAGAAGTTACTTTCTTCTAAAAGTTCTTAAGTCCCTTTAGTGACCTAAATTACCACAGCACAGTCCAATGATTCCTGGATCCTGTACAACTAAGTGATAAATGTGACACTAAATCCAAAGAATAAGTGGCAAAGACCACCTGCTAAAATAGAACTGTGAGAAAACAGGGCATGTTGCAGCCCTGCTCCGCTGAAACAGAAAAAAGTCCACATCATGTATCGACTGGTTTTGGTATACTCTGGTTTTGTAAATACTCAGAAGACTATTACTTGGATATTAGATTCTCAGCTCTAGTACTTCATTACATCAGCAGGCATCTTAGCCTGTTACTGTGATGAAGAGCTACTATGAAACAGGAAATAACTTATTAGAAAGTTGTATGAACTAGGGCATAGATGACCAACTCTATCTGCGAAGCATAAACTGTATCAGGCTATGGTTTGATAGTTTGATGAACATCACTCTCAGAAAGAACGTTGGCTTAAACGGGTTTCATTCTCCTTCTTATTCTAGACCCTGCAGTATCTCCCCTGACTTTTCCAGTATAAGCATTACATGGCCATAATGAGCTTACAGATGTGATCGTAGCTCAAAACAGCCAAAGCGAAAATTACTGCTTTCAACACTGGTAAATTCTGGATCTGTTTTGCCAACCAGCCACAGGACCAATTACACTGTTCTAACTGAGAGTTAATGCAAATAGAAGAACAGAGCAGGCCAGGAGTTCCTGCAATCAGTAGCCTTGGAAGAAACGTAAGCCAAACTATGTGGCTAGGGTCGCCGTCCCCTTCCCAGGGGCTCGGG